ACTACCACAACAGCAGCAACCAACTAAGAAAATTAAATTCCAAGCACACGGCTGTTCCTTCACGGGGATGTCAAGAGTGTCCACTGCAGCAACAAACCTTCAAAAACTTGACGTCTATTTTTGTCCGTGTGTTTTGGGGAGAAGTTTTGACTCTCTTTACTTCTTTTCTTTCTCTCTCTCCCTTCTCTCTTTCTCTCCTCTCTCTCTCTCTCTCTCTCTCTCTCTCTCTCTCTCTCTCTCTCTCTCTCTCTCTCTCTCTTTCTTCCTCGGTATGTTTAGTATTTGTGAACGAATTTCTGTATATCTGTACATGCGAGTACACACAAAAAAGTACATTCGAAATTCGATACGCCATTTCGCTCTATCTGGAAGGGACAGAATAGTTTTTGTATTGAAGTAGCGAAATCAATATTTTGCACTGTGATTAATTCATGGATTATGTGCTTCGTTTGATGCTTTTTGGTGCAGCATGTCAGGGCTGTCTGTTGGTCTGTAGGTTTGTATGATTGTTGGGCATAGTTTGGGTTGTTGGATTTTTTTGAATGCATTTAACATCCGGATTATTGCAAGTGAATCAAAAGATAAAAGAGTTAATTAATGGTGTTGGTTGGTTGGTTGGTTGAATGGCTGGTTGGCTGGTTGGTTGAATGGCTGGTTGGATGGTTGGTTGTTTAGTTGTTGGTTAATCTGACGTGATGTCTTGTGACGTAACTTGATGTAATGAAATGTGATTGGTGGGACTGTCATCAGCATCGCCATCTTCATTGTCATCGTCTTCATCTTCCTTTTCAGACATACAAATACATTTTTATGGTAATATCAACGACAGCATCTTCTTCTTTTTCCTCTTGACCATCACAAAGCAATAGCACAAAGACCATAAATAATTAAAGCTTTTCATCTGATATCTTGTGTTATTTACTGTTTTTTCTATTTTTATGACGTCACATCACTATTCCATGCTGGTTGGTCGGTTGCCTAGCAACTGGTTGCTACGCGGTTGCTGACGATAACATGTCATTAAGGAAAACAGGAAAAAGAAAGACACTAAATAAAAAAGACAGAAAAAAAATATGGAAAAATAGGAAGGAAGCAATGATATAATTAAATTGTTATAGATGTCGCCGCTGATAACTTTGTGCTGTTGTTTGTTGTTGCTGATGTTATGTTGAGGTTGTTGTTGTTGTTGATGATGTTGTTGATGTTGTAGTTGTTGAGATTGTTGATGTTGTTGTTGTTGATGTTGAGGTTGTTGTCGAAAATGATGAATGTGATGTCATCAGAGCTGTTTGATCATTGGCGATTGATCAATTTCATGAAGACGATGAAGAAGACGATGATGATGATGATGATGATGATGATGATGACGATGATGATGATGATGATGATGATGATGATGATGATGATGATGATGA